TTTTTTTTTAGCTTGTTTTCTCTTTTGTGCACAACTTAACTGAACACGTTTCATTTTGGGATCTGAAATTGAAAAAAGTATGCCAAAAGATGTAAATAAAAATGATTAAATGATATAAAACGAAAATGTAATTTACATAAAAATTAAAAAATTATACAAAATGAGGCTAAAAAACAATAAACTTAAGCTTTAAGCTCATATAAATAATTCCTTAATATCAAAATCAATAAAAATGATAAAACAAATGATAAAACAGCTTTAATAATAGTTTCAAGTTGTTAATTAAAAAAATATCCTCAAGTGAAGTCGTTAGGGGCTGTCCATTAATTACGTCAACAAAATAGGGGGAGGGAGGGTCTGCATTTTTTTGACAATTGTTGACAAGGGGAAGGTGAGAGGTCAAGAAAAGTTGACGTCAACACTTTTTTTTTTTTGGAACATGTTACTTTTTTTTATAAATTTAACTGTTTAAAAAAAATAAAAATAGGCAGCGTTTGCAGTCCTGTGTTATATAGTCGCTCAACCTTCAGTATTTTAATTCCTATCCTATAATTAATATTCTTACTTTTTAAAAACTTTTTTATGCTTTAAAAAGACCCGACATACAGAACTTAATAACTACACACAAGGTGTTTACTCGTAGCATTATTATTTTTTCAAAGTTGTTTGTTTCGGTCTGCTGTGCATTCAAAAGAGATTCATGCAAGTACTTTGTCTGTTTAAACTTTTATACAAAGGGTGCAACCTGCAGCTCGCAAGCCTCTTGTGATTTTTTTGATATCAAGATAAAGCTCTTTAACTGCATTTTGACATCGAAATTTTATTATCTTGACATACAAATATCATGACACACAAATATTAGCATAATCAGGGATGCGGAGTCCTAAAAAGACTCCGGTTTTATATCTCTATTTTTTACTGTCTCTGGTGTCCAAAAGTTCTGAACATGTTGGTTGATTTATGATCTGCTTAATAAAATAAAAAACTAATGAAGTTAAATGACTTGAAACATATTGTTTTTAAGCCCGTAGTCCCAGAGTCCTAGCCACCATTATACTAAAAGTTTTAACTTTTTTACTAATATTAATTTATAAGCGTTTTTATATTATTAGAGCTCCTGGATACCAAAAACTAGGAAGAAGTATTCTTTTTGTGACATTTAAATCCGGAGTCTTTTTCGGGACTCCGCATCCCAAAATATAATATTAAAATAAAAATGTTGGTAGCTCTTTAAAAACTGAAAAACTTTGTATACTGTAACTTTTGGCTCTTCCGTCTCAAAAGGTTGCCAACCCCTGGTTTATACAATTTGTTAAATGCTTTTTTTTTTATTCTAGACTTTATTAAAAATAATTGGATTTTACTGTAAATTTGTATTAGGTCTAATGTTAAAGTGAGGAGAATTTTATTAATTTGAAATATGGTTGTAATTTAAACGTGTAAACATTTTTGTGAACCCTTTAATCTTTTTTTTCTTAAGAGTAATTCTTAGTATTTTTAAACTGAAATTATGTTTATAAGTTAAATTTTTTTTTCTACCTTTTACTTGAATTCACTTTTTGTTGAGAGCAAGCATTTCTAATTTTAAATGATTATATTCATCTGAAATATGTTCATAAATTAAAATTTGAATACATATTTTTTCTAAACATTTTACTTTGAAACACTATTTTGTTTCAGTTCTAAAATAGTCAATTTGTAACTTTTTTTTTTCTTTTTTTTTTTTTTGGTGGTGGGTGAGTGCTGTGTTATCGAATGTTGACGTAATTTTATAGAGAGGTCACTGAAAGTTTGACAAGTTGTTGACAAGGGAAGGGAGGGAGATAAAAATTGCCAAAAAATTAATGATGTAGTTAATGGACAATACTTTTATTTGAGAAAAATCTATCTAGATGTACTTTCCCCCAAAAGTGGTAAAAATAAAGCACACATAAGTTGCGCCTGTATCTTTATTAAAAAAATCTTAACTATGGAGCTCAGATAGTTATACAGTCAAAGGAATAAACAGGTGAAACGTCTGACATGTAAATGGGACATACTGATAAAATTGAGACCATAAAATATATAAAAAAATCAAAACAGAAAAGTCAGTGACGAAAAAGCTTACCAGAAAAGAATTTAAAAAAATACAGGATGAGCGATTGTTTTTAAAGGTAAATATAAGTATTATATATATATATATATATATATATATATATATATATATATATATATATATATATATATATATATATATATATATATATATATATATATATATATATATATATATATATATATATATATATATATATATATATATATATAATTGAAAATATATCATATATGGTGACAAGCTATTTATTTAACTATTAAAATTTTTTAATTTTAAATGTGATATTTCGGCTCATTTAGTTGGAGCCTTTTTCAAACTAATACGTTACATAATTTTTTGGTAACGTATTAGTTTGAAAATGGCTCCAACTATATGAGCCAAAATATCATTTAAAATTAAAAAATTTTAATAGTTAAATAAATAGTATGTCACCATATATGATGTATTTTCAATTTTATATATAAATTTCATCATACTATTAAGATGTCAATAAAATATACATACTTTTATTTTTATTTTATAGATTTGGAATTTCACCTGTCGCAACTGCAGTAATTGGTAAAAGTTATCTGCAAGATTTAATTAAAGCAGGATTTCTCACCCCTGAATCCTTTTACTTTGAGGGGCCGACGACACGGGTTTTGAAGTGGGGGGCACCAATTCATCCAGAATAGGTGCATCCAGTTTATTTGCTGAAAGTGTTTACTTTTTGCTAAAATAACATAATCTTACTGAATCATGTTTAGAACTTGGAGCAGATAGTACTTCAATTACCACCGTCTGCAAAGGTGCTATAGTGCATTTTGAAAAGCTGTTAGGTCACAAATACCACTGAGCCATATGCATGCTTCATTCAAATGAGTTATTTTTGCGTCACCTAATAGAAGGAGTTGATGGACCAACATCGTGTTTTACTGAATTTGTCGGTCCTGTGGGAAATTTTATTTCTGGTGTTTATAAAATGAAGTATAATCCTCAATTTAAGACTCTTCCAGATGGAGAGAGCTTTATTGACATTCCAGAAACAATACTAAAAAGTGTCAGCAGATAAAAACAATTCTACAACCTATATAAAGCATTTAGGATTGGTGTGCTGCTACCTAATCTAAGAGAAATTCAATGTGGCCCCTCAAGTCATGCCAGATAGCTCACTACAGGCATGAGAATAATCTATATGTGGACAAGGAAGCATGATCTAACTGAGCAAAATTTGAAGAATCTAGAGTTTCTTTCTTATTCTGAAGGAGCATGTTTAGATAAATATGCATTTCATTCTACCTTTATAAGACACTCTAGTAAGATATATTATAGACAGATAACTAATAGAAAAACCTAATTAGTGTTTTTTAAAACAATTTTTTGAAACTTTACATTCATACTTATCAGAATATTTCTCTTTTTTTTTCACTCAAATGTAGATCTAGATCTGGCTTCAAAGTAATTGAGATAGTCCTGCTCTCCATTTAACCCAAGGCTTAATAAAAGATCTATGTTGTAAAACTGTTGTATCTAACTCATCAACATTATTCCATATAACAGTAATAATTCTACTACTAAACAATAAAAATACAATGTGAATCATTTAATGATCTTTTATTTTATATTATCAATTTTCAACATTAATCAAAATACAATACTAAATTCAGGGCCGGTGTAGTAGGCAGGATTGACTTAACGGTAGCGTATACTGTACAGTAAGCTGTACCGGAAGGTAACAAACACTGTACAGTGCTTGCTGCCTAGGTGCAAAGCACTGTACAGTAATTCCTACCGGCTAGGCACCAAACACTTAACTCAGGTAACATGTACTAACGGCAAAGAAAACGTTTTTAATAACGTTTTTATTTACTTTTTTTAGTTAAAACATTTTTTTTAAATAACTTTTAGAATAATTGGATTAAGTTAATTTTATAATACGATTTAGTTTAAATTTTTTAAACTTCTTTTTTCTAATTAAACTACATTACATAAGAGTTTTTACAACATGACTTAAATTTTATCTTCTTAAATTTTACCTGTTTTGAAGTTGATGACTGAGTATTCTTATTTTCACTAACACTCGTTAGGTTATCTTTCAAGGTTTACGAGGTTCTACTACCCTTATTGACATATAGATTAGGAATTTTATTTCAAAACTTTCTTCTCCTTAGTTAGTTGATTGCACTACAACTAAGGAGTCGTACTTGCTCTATATAAAGCAAGTTGTATTGGATTAAATGTATTTCAGAAGCAGGGTGACCTGATCCGAGTAGTTAAATCAATTCGATAAGTCTTATTGCTGCTGTTACCACAATGTTGGTAAAAGTTTTTCAAATAAAATATATTTTTGTCGAGGCTGTTTTTAGCCCTTCATGGACCCTGGTGGTAAGTTTTGTTAGACACTCACTTTTTTGGTTGTTTTCTATGCTTTATTAATTGATTAGTCATACTATTTTCATAAAAATACTATTATGAGGACCCAAATGTGGGTAAAATTTCTAATATAAAACACTTTAATTAACTTTAAAAAAAACCGCATGCGATTAAAAAAGAAAAGAGGCCATCTGCAAGTCAAGAAACTTCAATTGCATTTCTCAATCAAATTAATTTGTTGTTTAAAAAGCAAACCTAAACTACTTAAAAATTAAGAAGCTTTCATTAAAAGTTTTTACAGAAAAGAATAAATTTACAATAGTATTTTAAATTAGCATAGTATTAATAAATTCAATTTCTTGTATGCTAAAACTTAAATCAAAACTTAATAAGGGAGAGTTATAAAACAAGATTAGTTTTAAAATGATAAATTGCACAACATTTTGGATTTACAAGAATAGTCAAAACAATCTTAAAATAAAGTCAATAAGAAATATAAATATATAAAACTTTTTAAAAAGTCAATAAAAACACAACTTAATGTGAACAAAAATCAACTGACAGCTAAAATTCTATCATAATGTACACAAGTATTTTGCAGATAAACTATTTGGTCATTTTCTTTTATTTCCATTAGTTTAAACCCATTTGTATTTTGAAGAAGAGATTTGTAAAAAAACCACGAAAATACAGAAGCTTCAGGGGGCTTATAGTAAACAGCAATCGGTGTATTCAAGGCAGTTGCTAATGCATGTATTTCGACTTCAGTGCCCCATATTTGGTCAGTCACCATTTTTGAATCACTAATGTATTTTAAAACTGGTTTTGATATATAAGCATCAAAAGCATTTCTATATTCCGCTTTTAAAAGAGTATCAATTGCTAGTTGACGCAGTATTTTATAAAACTCTTGACTTAGACAAACTTCCTGACTTAAAGCTCGAAATAAGCAATTCCCATCACCTTCAATTTTATCAACACTAATCGGTTTTCCCAATTGTAACTTTTTTTTTCGTACAGCAAAACCTTTTTTAAAAGGTGTTTTATTAGTTAAAGAAATCTTCAACAGGGAGCATTTCTTTGTTCTCCATTTACTATTAGTAGGTATAAAAGAGTTTGTTTTGCTGATAACAACTTCAACAATTTCTAAAGATTCAGATTTAATATCAGATACCTCATCACATGATTTTTGAAGTATTTCATCTTCGGATCTTTTCTTTGAAAGTTTCATGTTTGAACCATGATGCTTGGTATGAATGTTTCACCATTTTTTTGTTTTAGCTGATAAAGTTCTTTATCAATAAATGTTTCAATAACTTCGTACGGTCCATCCCAAACAGATTTCTTTTTATCACCTTTTCTATCAGCTCTTCTAAGATTATAAACAAAAACGTTATCGCTTATATTGAATTGGATTTGGTTTTTGTGACGTTTCTCATAGTTCTTCTTTTGTCGCAATTGAGATTTCTTTATATTTTTTTCTACTTCATCATGAATTATACTTTGAATGTTTTTAATTCCTTTTAAGTTTTCGAGCAAATCAGCCTGTTCCAAATTACCTTAAAAAAAAAACAACTAAATGTATAAAATAAATTCAATAAATTTATTCCATTCGTTTATTAAAATAAATACCTTCTTTTATGTCTAAATCAGCAGGTACATCATGAATTAAGATTTGATCAATATTTATGCAATGTAAGGGTAAAACTGGCTCCCTTGCATACATAACTTGAAAAGGAGTGACACCGGTTGACTTGTGGCGAGTTGTTCGAAATGCAAACAGTATGCCATCTAATGAATGAGGCAATTTTTCTTGCTCTCCGTTCAGCACTTTAAGCATAGAAGCCTGTATAGTTCTATTAGCTCGTTCAACCAGACCATTCGCTTGAGGGTGGTAAGCCGAAGTAATGCGTTGACAGGTTCCAGTAAGATTTAGCAAATTTTCAGAAACTTTATTACAAAATTCTTGACCTTAATCATTAATTTGAATTGAGGCACAACCATGTCGACATATAAGTTCATAAAGAAATCTGGATACCTCTTCAGCACTTTTATTATAAATAGGCTTTGCTTCAATCCATTTTGAAAAATAATCAACAACTACACAAATTCCAACATAACCTTCTGGATTTTTAGGAAGACTACAGAGGTTAACACCAACTTGATGCCATATTTTTGTTTGAACTGGTATTGGATGCAACTCTGGAGAAACTTTTTTCATTTTTGAATTTGATTTTTGACAAGATTCACAAGTGGCAACATAATTTCGGACATCTTTATTCATACTCGGCCACCAATATTCTGAATCAATCAGTTTCCATATTGTTCTATCTCTCCCAACATGCCCACCTATAGCCTTTGATTCAGTTGATGTGCCTAATCCATTGTGTGCAGCTTTTTTGTACTGATTACAAAACATTTGATCTTTGACAACACATAAAGTTTCTGGACCAGAAGTAACTTTCATGATTTTTCTATATTTGTAATGTAGCATACCATTAACAATTACAAACCTGTCACTTTGTTTTTTAAAGTTTGTTTTAATACCTATGTTATGTGTTCGGTACCCAAGTACAGTGTTTGGCACCTAGGTAGGAATCACTTGTCAAGTGATCGGTACCGTCAGGTAGGAATTACTGTACAGTGATCCGTACCGGTTAAGTACTTCATACCTCCTACACCGGCGCGAGTAGGTGACACGTGGAGGGGGGGTGCCATTACAACTTTTGCCAACTAAAAAAAAAAGGTCCTCGTTTTTTAAAATTTGCCGACTGCCATAACGACATTTGCTGACTGACTGTCTAAATTTACCGACTAACTTGCCGAATGGGTCTACATTTGCAGACTAACTATTCAAAAAGGGTCAAATTTGCCGAATAAATGAACAAAAAAATCATTGATGGGTGGGGGGGGGGTGTCATTCCTATCGCGCCGGCCTTGACTATATTATAATATATTGCTATTATAAACTTTTGTGCCAATAGCCCCCTCCCCCAACTTTTTTTTTTTTCAATCAAATTCTGGCTTCCCCTCCCCCTCCCCAACATTATTTTCCGTTTAAGTTCTTGACCATCCATTTTTTTCAAACTTTTACCGTTTTAACTTTCTTGACATTTCTTCACCACTGATTACGACGATAAGTTAACGTTAATCGTTATTAGTTAATAATATAACGGTTTAATTTAAATTGTTGCTTATACTGGGTAATTTATATAAAATATGTGAAGCAAAAAAACTAAAAACAAGAAAAATTATTTTCTGCTGAAAAGATAACTTCTTTTAATTTTCGTTTGAAAGAAGTTTAAGTCCATTTCAATGACAAATCAAAATTTGGCAAAACTATTTTATTCCATAAATAAGGACCGCGATGAGAAATAACTAGTTGTTCAAATTTAGTTCGGCAGAATGGTTGCAGATTTTCTCCATTGCGAAGATTGTATTTGTTTATGGTTTTTACATTATAAAGGTTTATAAATACATCAGGAGATAAATGATTTTTACATTTAAACATGAAACATAAAATATTATAAACATTTAGTTCGTATACATTTAAGGCTTTCATTTCTCTCAGAAGTGGTTTTGAGTTTGAAAAACGATTTTCAAAATTAATTAAGCGAGCTGCGTGTTTCTGATGCTGATAAAGAGATTTAAGTTTAGTTTTGTGCGCGCTTCCCCATACAATATTTGCATAATTTAAATGGCAGTGGATAAACAAATAATATTGTTGTTTTAATTGTTGTTTATTTAAAATATGTCGAACTTTATATTTGCTTCTTTTCAAACATAATACATTTTTCTTATTTCCTGGTAAACGATGTTAAAAATACTTAAAACGAAGACTTTTTACATTTGATGATGGTTTATTTAATTTAGTATTAGTTCTTTGTTTTCGATGATGGTTTATTTAATTTAGTATTAGTTCTTTGTAATTTTTTTATTAAATTCTTGATTGATTAAGTTATTATTTATCTAATTATTCATTTATCTAGATTTAAAATTAATTATTTATAATTATTATTAATATCAAATTATACATCGCTATGGCAGTGCCGTCACTGAGGTTGGTGTCACCCAGTGCGGTGAACTCATGGTGTCACCCCTCTAGATTTTCACTATGGATCTCTTCAGAGTTTCCCTGTACTAGACCATACCCAGTGGGCACGGGACG